GGTGTGCGCCGTTCTCATTGTCTCTCCTGTTCTGACTTCCAGGTACGCAGTCATTTTGGCCTTTGATGTGAGAATCGAACGGGATGCACAAGAAATGGCTGATAGTTTAGGAGTTAGAATTTTTAGTGCAGAAATTATTTATCATTTATTTGATGCCTTTACAAAATATAGACAAGACTACAAGAAACAGAAACAAGAGGAATTTAAGTAAGTTGGTGATTTTCCCTACTTTGGTCTTTGATGAAGGTGACTATTGGAGAATTGCCCAACAGCAGGAAGGTGTGTGGACAGCAGAAGCATGGTGTTTGCTGGAGGCTGTACCTGCAGTGCTGTAACCCCGTCCCCACCCCCTCCCAACCGTGCGGGGACAAATCCTCAGGAGTCTTCCTGGCCTGCGTTTTGGTTCCCATTTTCAGTTTGGCAAATGGAAGTCTCTTTCATGGGGGTAGCTGCTCCATTTGGGGACTGTCTTCCTTCTCTGGGATTGCCGGGAATGGGGAACCTAGGAACTGAAACGAGGGAGGCATTCCAGGGAGCGAAGCTTGGGCCTGCAGCCTACCTGACCAGGAGCTCAGTGTAAGAGGCGCTCGCAGGAGCTAGAGTCAGCAGTGCCCCTGACACTCCCTTCCTCTGGGAGCTCAGGGGAGAGACAAGCAATGAACACACGAGAAGTGGGGAGAAGTGCTAAAAAGCAAAACAGAGCAGGGGCGGGCCCAGATGAGAGCTGGGAGGCAGCTCCCCTCTGAGATCTAGGTTACGATCCAGCCACCCAGACACGAATGAGGACAACGCTGGGCAGTGGCCCACACAGAAACCCTTGGAGGGATGAGTTCAGAGGAGTCGGCAGGACCCAGAGCACGTGGGACCCTGTGCATAGGATGGACTTTGGAGTCAGGGATGAGGGCCCATCAGGAGACTCCCATAGTCCAAGCCAGATACCACAAAGGCTCAGAGCAGAGTCACCCTCAGATGACTCAATCGGGCATATTCTCAAAGTTCAGACTGTAAGGAGGATTTAGACTGAGACATGTTCACTGTAGGTTGTGAAACCTGACGTGAGAAGGCTTAAGACTTAAGAAGCTGTGAAAGCACTTGAAGCTTTGCTTCATGAGCAGGGAAATGCTTTTGGATCGTCTGATCTGGGAGCATGCCAGAGAAGAGGAGGATGTGGTTTGATGCCTGCGGGTCCCCAGAACAGCCTCCACGTGGGCCACGCGCCACCCTGAGAGTAGCTCCCACTGAGGTTCTAAGACCTGAGTGCCGTCTGTAGCTCAAGCCCTTCAGTCTGGGCACCAGATGCTCCTTGGGGCAGTTTCTCCAAGACCTGATGGGCAGGGGAGGGTGGAGAGGAAGGAACCACAGAAGGTGGCTGTGGACTGAGCACACCCCCGGGTAGCACAGTGTCCCTGCTGCCTGCAGGGGTCTGGGAAAGCAGCCTTGTGTTCACCTGTACTTGCTTTTTAGTTTAAGTGACAGTACTTTAAAATCCTTGTTTTTTTTCTTTCAGGCACATAGCAGTATTTCCCTGCAAGATGAAAATCCTCCCTCAGTATATTTTCAATTCCCGAGACCCCATCGTGATGGGCGTGACGGTGGAAGCAGGTCAGGTGAAACAAGGGACCCCCATGTGTGTCCCCAGCAAAAATGTAAGTGCCAGTTGTACTTTAAGAACAATGTGCTATCTCTTAAGCAGTAAATGGGAGTCCAGAAATGGTGACAAAAGACTTATACCAAGCAGAGCGTGTTGCCTTGTGTAATTTAGACTGCAGTCTTGCTAAATGTCAGCATTCCTTAGTCAATCTTGGTTACTAGCACCGGTGCATCAGTTATGAAGACTGCAATTTACAGCCCTTTCACATTTCACCAATTGCCCACCTGCTGGCTTGGTCCCGGATCCGGTCCCGGATCCCTTCATGTGCACTGCCTTTGGCTGTTGGGTGTTTCAGTCTTCATCAGCAGCAGCCCGTCCTTCCTGAAGAGTCCAGACAGACCATTGCTTCACAGGGCATTTCTCCACTTGGATTTGTCTGGTTTTGTGACTAAGGAAAGGATCCTGCATGTCCAGGTGCTCATTGTCAGTGACCTGATTGCTGGGGGAGCTGTGTGTTGCCAGCTCAGCCTCTCCATTAGAGACACACCTTTCCCCTTTGTAATTAATTACTAGGTGGTCTGTGGGGTACTTTGAGTCCCTATGATCTCCTATTCCTCAGCCTTTATCCCAGAAGCAAGCATTACATAAATGGTTGCAAAATTGTGATTCTATCACCCACCTCCCTCTGTAAAGAGCCCTCACTCCCCTGACCTGTTCATTAAGTATCCATCTGTTTTGCTTTTTAGCACTTCTCCCCTCTTCTCATGTGTTGTTTGGTTTTGTAAATTCTGTTGTAATCCATCACTGATACTTTTGATGGCCAAGTTATCCAGTTTGGTCTGTGGGAGCCACATGCCCCTGGAGCATAAGCATCTCTTCCTCCTCCCGGTGCAGGACGCTGCCCCAGACCATTCCTGTAGTTTCCATTTCTGGGCTGAGCTAGGACGTTTATTTGCAGTTATTGTCTCCTGTATGACTGGCCAACCCTTTCTCTCTTCCCAAGCAGAGGATGCCCCCCCCCACCCCTAAAATTGAGACTAGGCTGCTCATAATTCATCCTCAGAATGAAATGTAAAGTCCTTACGTGGACCTGCAAAGCCTCCCTGACTTCATCCCCAGCTCCTCACCCCTTGCTCATAGCAGCCACTCCATGCTCATGCTTGATTCTGAGCCTTGGGCACCTGTCCTGAAGGGTGGGACAGAAATAGGAAACGGCATACAGCGCTTTCCAAGCTGTGGCCACCTCAGGAAGGGCAGGGGGGACTGTGCTGTGTCACCAGTTTATCAACGAGAACATTCCACTGCGGAGAGATGGTGGCCATGGTCAGCAGCCGAGGCTTTGACACTGGCCCTCGTGCTCAGCAACTGGTTTTCCTCAGGCTCGGCTCTTGGGTGCCTGCAACGGGCAGGATTCCTCTGCTTACATTGTCCTCTGTTCTTATTTGACAGTTTGTGGACATTGGAATAGTAACAAGTATTGAAATAAACCACAAACAAGTGGATGTTGCAAAAAAAGGACAAGAAGTCTGTGTGAAAATAGAACCTATTCCTGGTGAATCCCCCAAAATGTACGGGAGACATTTTGAAGCTACAGACATTCTCGTCAGTAAGGTAAGTCCCTGCCAGAGGGGCACCTGAAGGGACGGGTCGTGGGCGGGCTTGATGGGTCGAGCGGCCGTCTAGAAAGCTTTTCACAGCGCGGGCTGCCGGTCTCCCAGGTCCCCCTGCAGCCCTCGCCCGGCAGCGCCGCCTCGGTGTCCAGAGTGGCCGGCATCTGGGGGCGGCTGGCCGCCCGCTTCTCTGGGCACTCGTGGGTTACATTCTGTTCTGATGTCGCCGTGCCTCGTCCTTTGCAGATCAGCCGGCAGTCCATCGATGCTCTGAAAGACTGGTTCAGAGACGAGATGCAGAAGAGTGACTGGCAGCTTATTGTGGAGCTGAAGAAAGTATTTGAAATCATCTAATTTTTCCACATGGGGCAAGAATTAGAGTAAATGCAAGAAAAACAGGATAAAAAGTGGAATGGACATATCCGGACACTGATGCACTTAAGTATGGAAGGAAAAAAATAGATGTATAAAATGTTTTCCATGAGAAACCAAGAAACTTACACTGGTTTGACAGTGGTCAAATACATGTCCCACAGTTCCAAGGTGCCTGTCCACATGCCCGCTCCTTCCCCACCCCTACCTGCTGCTGTTTTAAAGTTTGCCCTTCCCCAAATTTGGATTTTTATTACAGATCTAAAGCTCTTTGGATTTTATACTGATTAAATCAGTACTGCAGTGTTTGATTAACCAAGCTTCTGCAGATTTTGTGATTCTTGGGACTTTTGATGTAAGAAATACTATTTTATTTATGCATCTCCTTCCCAGTCATTTTTTTCCCCAGCCATATGCTCTTTGAATTTTTTAAAATAGAAAATTAGATATTCTGGTATTTATCTGCTTTGTGTGAAACCATGGTGTAGAGTGTAGCTGGCTGCTATTGACTGCTTGTCTAGTCATGAGTCCATTGTAATCAGCACAATTCTGAACTCCAATAAAGAGAACATTCACTAGAAAGCTCTGCTAGGCCTTCGTGTTAGCGTAGCTTCTCTCCCATGAGTCTTCAGCTCTTTTCTTTTAAAGATAAGAACTATTTTATGAACTGTCTCCAACCTTGTGTACCAGCACAGGGTTAACATTAGTTTTTATATAATAATCTTGGTCTATTTTGTCCTAGAAAGTCTATCATGCATACATTTTCTGATTAGAAAACGGAACTGATGACTATTTGGGCTTAGTGCTTCTAAATTGTCATGGAGACGTCATAATGACTCATTTATATCAGTAATCTGATTATAGCTAGTTTTATGGTTTTCCTGAAAAGTGTGGGTAATAGGTCCTTTCCTCAATATAAGATTAATTCCTGTAACAGATCTCAAGGGTCTGACTATTTATAACAGTGTCGGATGAAGTCAGTGTAGGTGTTTGAAGAAAATGTTCCCAAGTAACTATATTTTTCAAGTGTTATGGCATAACATAGCATAAAAATACTTTATGTACATTTGAAAATCTGTACCACTCGTCATTATTGAAGTTCCTCAAGGGCCAACAGAGGCAAGAAAAACACCTCTAAACACCTGTGGGGCATAATTTTCCCAGGAGAAACTTAATCTTCAGTTGTGTGTTCTAATTCACCACATGTAAACTCCTCCACTTGGAAGAAGTAAAGATGTTCTTAACAGGCTCTTAACTGTGTTCCTGCGTGGGGGGTGGGGTGGGGGGGGCGCTGTCCGGAAGCAGCAGACCAGCCTGGCCCTCTCCGGAATTACAGAGCCCAGCACGAGTCTGGGCTGCAGGTTGTTCCCGTGGTGTAACAAACGGTTCCGGATCTGGTTCCTAAAAGATTCACAAAAAGGAACCTGTACAAAATATACATACAGTTCTTTATTAAACAACTGTAAACACTTCACTGTAAAAATCCATAAAACTTTATAAACAAACATTTTGTAAATAGAATCTATACTACAGTAAAAGAACACATTTATTTACATGCAATACTGACAAATTTGGCACTTTTTGAAAAGAAATGTACAAAACACTTGCTCAAAAAGAAATTTGAAATTATGAAAACTCAGAGCATTACTACCATGCACTTTGTAGATACCTCACAAGCACTTATGGCACAGCAGCGAGAGCACCGCGCTCCCTGCTCACACTATGTAACTTTCAATGTGCTCCCATAAGTCTGTTGTAAAACCACCTGAACATTGTCAAGAATAAAGTCAAATGCCATATTCCAAACTGATTCCACCGACTGCTGCGTCAACCTACAGGTGGGGAAAGAGGAACATCAGGAAAGACTCATGATTCCTTCAGAATCAGTTTAACATTTTAATATAAGAATCAATCGATTTTGGCAAACTCTCGAACATTCCAAAGGACTTCCCTTGGTTTTAAACTATATTAAATCCCAAGGGGAACAATCTCATTTTGACTTCATTACCCAGCCAGTATTACGGCATTCCTTTCTCTGCGATTCTAAATAATAGGCACCTTTTTTTCATTAACCCTGGAGAGCAAAGGTAAGGCAACCGACTGCCAGAAACTACAAAACTTCGAGCCTTGCCCTCCCTCCACTAGCCCGACATGCCACTTCACCTTCGATGGAAGTACTAGTTACCTTTTCATGTATTTTATAACGAGGTCCAGTTTCTCCAAGTCTTTCTCCTCTATCAGGTCAGTGCAGTATTTCACAACTTGCAGAATGTCTTCTTCCATTGGATCTAGAGGGGAAAGACCTCAAATGAGAACCAGCCCACCTGTTTGTAGGACAGGAAACTGCGTTTTTACAACAACGCAGTCGAATGGGCTATGAGGGAACCTCCCCAACCAGTGTAAGTGCTTGGCTGTTGAAGACTATCAGATTTAGAAAGATGAGCACCATTGACATAGTTGAGCCTGTCATGTTCTGAAACCACAGGACCATGCATTACACATCAGTTTTCGGCTCTGCCCATCCAAGCCAACCTGAAATGGTGGTGATCCACTCCTTGAGCAGTGTCTTCACGTCACTGAACTCGACGGCTCCGGCAAGGTTGGGTGCCGGGGGTCTGACACAGCCCGATGGGGAAGGCTGCACACCTGAAGTAGAAGCAGAGAGTTCTCCCTGTTAAGAAAACAAATGATAAAAGTGCTGTATTTACACAACATCAAGTGCATTAAGATTCAGTAAAAGGTCAAAGTTTAAGAAGCATAAAGCTGACCAGCGGCTTCCCGGGGGTAGGACCTTCGTGTTTCAGAAACCCTTCGATTAACTTCTGGGGACTCCCGCTGGCCCCTGGCGCAGCTTTTGCGGGACTGTTAAGCAGCTTGTTTTTCAAAGGGCTCTGAACCTTTTTGGGGGAACTGATGGGATTTTTCTTCTTGTTTCGTTTCTTTTCTTTCACTGAGGCTGGTTTCAGCTGAAGTAACGGATTCTTTGGCACTAAAACATGAACATAAGATCCTCAAACAAGGTATCTGGATAGTAATAAGGATTCTCTCCCCCACTCAAACCCAACCCTTGCGCGCATGCACCCCCAACAAGGCCTCTAGCTGAGACTGGGAGGCATTAATGATGAGGGCAGAGAGGTGCAGGCTCTGCTCTCCCCGCTTCCTTGTCTCCGCTGGACCACTGCTTACTGATAACTGTGTTCACAGGATGCAATGAAAACTCGGCAGGTGAAATAGAAATAAGCGGCTCATCAGCACTAGTCTGTTTTTAACCTACATCCTTTCATGTGTCCGTTTCCAAGGACAATGGCCTTGGCAATTATGCAAAAAGATTTCTGAAAATACCTATTTAGGCATCTTTGTTTTTTTAAAGGCTTAAAAAAGTCAAGAATGGTGTTTATAAGTCAAGAAGTTACACCAATCTAACTAGGACTATATCACTTACTATATTGTCTACTTGTTCTGTTCCTCTCAACATGACTAAGAGCTGAGACTCTGGCCATTACACACAATGGTTCGCTTCTCGCATGCTCCTTGTTGGAGGCCATTCCCCGGGCTCACCTGCGGTGCTGGCTGCCTGCTGGTGCGCGCTGCTCTCTCCCTGCCTCTGCCTCTGATCATAAGCTGCTTTCAGCTCCTTCTGAAGCTCAGCAGGAAGGGCAGCAAACACCTCAGGGTCCACCTAGTGGAAAAGAGGTTCAAAGTCAAACAAGTTGATTCTATATGGCAGCTGGCTTATACTTTTCACAAAATCGATTATTTTCAAATCATACTTTTCTGATCTATATGAATTCAGAACAGGTCCTCAATATTAAGGCTCATTAAATCCTCATGGGGTTTTAGGATGAGAATAAGGAATACAATTCTGAGTATGAAGTGAACTTTAAAAAAAGTCACCAGGGCAAGAAGCACAGGCTCGGCTCGTATGTAATGTTTTCTGAGACATCAGACTTGGACTGTGTCACTGTCCCCGAGTTAAGTTCTGCATCCTGTTTCTCAAGTACAGCCCATCAGTGGTCTCTGGCTGGTGAAACGGGAACAGGATGTTCTGGGTAGAAGCTGTGAACATCCATGTGCCATAGCCTCCCTCTTCTCAGCCCTCAGTTGCTTCAAGAGAGGCTGCTGTCTGTCTGTCCTACAGATGATGATGAGACGACCCTATCCCCTGTCCCCCCGCCCCCCCTTGGACGTGGTGTAGACTAATGAGAGTTTGAGGTGCAAAGGCAAAGGGAATAAGACATGCCCTGAGCTGGAGCAGGGGGGTGGGGCCATTTAAACTGGCAGAAGACCCTATATTTAACTTACTTGTGAGAATGCTGGAAGGGCTATTACGTTGATTCCCATGTCGTTGTTGGATGCTTGAGGTTCTGGTATTTGTAATAAAACTGTCCCCACTGGTTGTGGCACGATTCCTGTATTACAGCCATTTACTGGTTCGTTCTTTTTGTCACCATGCTGCTCCCCTTGCTGAACAGCACAAACTTGCTCTACTTGTTCCCGGAGATCAGGCGGGAGTGCTTCTAAAACAGACTGATCGAGCTGTAAAATACAGGGTGCAAGGTTGAACCACGCTCAGAGATGATGTGTTTGGAGAGATCATACTTCACTTCCACCTCAACTTTAACATCTTGGATAATGAAGATAAGGTGAGGTGCAGATAACCAGGCCAGGAAAGCCACCCCCAAGCTCCTGCCTCCGAAGGCTGAGTAGAAATGTGTGGTTCTAAAGGTGACCCTATGTACACACTGGAGACGAGACTAGACAACTGGCCGATCCCACAGGATCAGGTCAGTCCACACAGGAAGAGCCTCTGTTAAGCTCAAATCTGACCCCACCCTTGGGCACAGGCCACTGCCAAAGGCAAATATGTCAAATTTCTAAGGCCAGAAGTTGGCCTTTCAGACAGGAAACTCTATGCCCCCAAGCACAAATAATTCTAGGCCAAGAGCAGACAGCTAGAAAAAAGCTTAACTGCTCCAGCCCACATACTAGCATCCCTGTTCCCTTGGCCAGGTCCTTCCTCCCTCCCCCCCTCATACATTCCTTAGGAAGCACGAAGCTCCTGAGCTGGGCAGGCCGATCTGACCTCGCTGGGAGCAACTTTCTGAAAACTCAGGCCCATACCTGCCCTTTCCCTCGCCTACAGCCAGCGGCAAATGTTCTCAGCCTCTGCCACCTAGTGCTGCAGAGAAATCAGCCTTCCCATCGGCCTGCAGCAGCACGCCACACCAACAGCGCACACCAGCTCAGTGAGCAGCGAGGTCAGGAAAGTCACCCCTCCCAGTGAACTGTGCACCTGCTGTCACAGGCTTCTAGTGATCGCCAGCGCTGGTGCTCCGCTCCGGAAGTGCCTGTGGTGGACACTGTCACGAAGGCAGTTAAGGAACTGGCTCTCATTCAACATTTTACAACTTGCAAGGGCTGCAGATCTGCAGAAGCACCAATCTTTCACTTACACTGATCATGTGGCATTTGGAATTCAGGTATATATTGGCCCTAAGGAGTCATCTTTTCTCTCTCTCTTGACTATACTGGCAAGGAAATTAAACACATCGTTCCTACTGTAAAACTACTTTTGCATTTTTATCATACTTAATTATAGAAATATACCTGGGAAGGTGATGGGACCTCTATACTCAGGTTCAGTTTTGATTTTAAACTGATGGGAGAATGTAGACCATTCCATTTCCCCGAAGGCTCGGCTTTGCTCGTAACAGGGCTGACAGCAGATGTCAGATGTGTAGAGAGAGATGGCAGGAACGTGCAAGTTCTAGAGGCAGATGTGATTTCCAGATCCATGGCAGCCAGGAATACTGAAAGTAGAGAAAATACATACACTAGCCTCTTCAGCTCATCTGGGCGCATGGGGGGCACTCTGATCCACAGACTTCAATATGCTCATCCTGATGCCAGCCTGTGTCTGAAGGGCCACACACAGCCCTGCCAGACAGCATTTACAATGAACGGCTCTCCTAAGGACACAGCGGCCCCAGGCAGAACCAACCCACCACCCACCTTCCTGGTGCTCTTCTTCTGAGGATGTCTTTGCTTTCTGAACTTGGAGGAGGTCCAGGACAGAGTGGGAGCCACCGGGATCTGGCTGAGCTGGCACGTGCCTGGGACAGGCGTGAAGTCTCAGATGAGCAGGAACCAACTGGTTCACTTGAATCCCAACCTAGAATCAGAAGAAAGTATGTTTTTAGGAAAACTGAAGTGAAACATGAAGTCAACTGAGCAAAATTCTCAGCCAATCCTCTTTTTACATCTTCCGCTCCTGTTACTAGAATATAACGTTAAAGTATTTAATCAGCCTTCTACATGATTTTTACAAAAATGGCTTCTATACTACCTGGTGAGCAGACAGTCCCTCCACCTTCAGTATCCACTTCTACCCATATACAACAATCTCTTCACACAGAACAGCCGAAAAGGGAGCTGCTGTATCTCACCAAAGTTCTTGCCAGCCAAGTTTTTAAAATAAGATTCTAAAAAATTTTGAAAAGCAGATAGTCTACCTGCAAACTTCATATAAAATAAAAAATATTAAAAAATGGGTTTGGGAGTGGATGGGCAGCGGGTACCCTTCAGGCATCTGTACAGACAAGCACCCTGCACCAGCACAGAATCAGCACAGCAGAGCCGGGAGAAGTTGAGTCACGGCTGCTGCAGCAGCACCCCAGTCCTTCCACAACGCCCACACCAGCCAGTAACTACCCTGTACGCACGCACGCGTGCGCGCACACCGGGACCAGCCAAGGTTCATCTTTAAGGAAACTAGGTTTTCACATTTCTTCTAGTCACCCTCATCAGACATACGATTCTGATTAAAAAGAACCCGATAAGTACAAGAACTGCAGATTCACACTCCTCCCAGTCCCATCTATTTCTAGAGAAACAAGAATAGGAAGCAAGATAATGCATGTAAAATGAGTCCTTGGTTAATTAAAGAAAGTGCTACAAAAACTGAAGATTTCTAGGCAGAAAACAGATTTCAGAACAAATTTGATTTTCTCTGAAAAAGGAGATCGGGTCAGGTGAGAGTTGAGTTTTTCAGTTTCTATCAAAGGAGCTGAAACCTGCAAACAAACCCCACACCCGCCATGGCCATGTTCAGATCAGGCCTCCAGTGAAAACCATGTTACAGAAAGCATTTTAAATGCTGTGTACTCACCCCTCTCATGTCCGATATGTTTAGCTTCAATGTGTGGAACATGTTCAGTGTGGCCTTTCCAATTACTTTTGCACTGTCTGTTGCCTGGTCGAGAGTCACGGTCCTGTAAGGACAGAAGTAACTTTTTACAGGGCCGGAGCTGCTCCCTGCGCCCACGGGTATCTCTGCTTCAGGGCACTGCTTACAGAGTTACAAGGAAGGTGTAAGGAAGCCACAAAAAGTTCACCTAAGTATGAACCAATGAGAGAGTTTTCCCTCAAGGAAGCCAAATGAATTAATTACAGTGGCAGCAAGGGGAAAAGAAAATTCATATAGGATATTGGGATTTTAAGAAAAAAACTAATAAAGAACTGGCCAACTAAAAGTAAGTTGGAACTTAAAAAAAAAAATACTCGAGTTAATACATAAACAAATATAAGCATATTGTGTTGCAACCAAAGCATGAATGTTAAGTACAATGCTTTTTAGATACCAAGAGAAGCTTTAGGTTCCAAGAAAGTTGCGGCGGAATGGTTAATGTTAAGAAGGCAAAGGAGAATCCTTGTATTTTGGTTCCTGACTCTAGTTTTGTTAGTCTGAGGTAAGGCCATTGAATAATCTCAACATGTGGATATAAGCTCATTACAATCCTACTTTCCCTCAGCTCTGTACACAAACACGTGTGGACAGCCATGACAAGGGGGACATGGTGGCACCCTGTCTGCAGGCAGGAGACGAGGATGCTGGGTCAGACTGGAGCACCGCCAGCATCTCGAGGTGCTCTAGTTAATACATAAACAAATATAAGCATATTGTGTTGCAACCAAAGCATGAATGTTAAGTACAATGTGTTCGCTTTCTCCGTGCCCTGAGGACATCATGCATTCATCTGTGACACATGCCTATTTCTCCACGGAAACCATTTGGAAAAATATTTCCATTGATTTGTTACCTAATAATAACCTTCAATTTATGTCACATAGATAAATGCAAAATAAATTAAAAGCATGATTTTTAGTGGACCTTAGTGAATTAAACCTATGTTTATCTTAATTTCTTTCCAAAACACCACTAAAGTGACTTGAAATGATTTTTAAAAGGTATAAACTCTTAAAGATAGAAATGGGAGAGGGGATCAGAGAAGAAAAATGTTATCCATAATTTAGAATACTAATAGCAAATCAGTAAATGGTAAGCTGCCAAATGCCTGCTAAAAGCCCACAGCTAATCACCAACTTGAGCAGGCTCAGACCCTCAGAAAAGTGCAGGAATGAAAGGTGCCAGGTACATAAGAAAGGAGGGGAGAGAAAGGGGATGAGAATGTACATGAGAGAGCCCCCCTCCTTTCACCACCTAAGAGGGGCCTGCCACTCACAGCTAAGGGAGGAGGCACCTCTCTCAAAAGATCCCCCTTCCCCATCCAGACCAGACCCCCTTCCTATCGAGGAACCAGATGCGAGCTGGAGGACTCCATTCTGGTGAACCTGTAAGCTAACAGAAAAGACCAGAGACACTACCAATGGCTGTGGCAACCCCACAGCAAGCCCCTCCAAACACTCGGCTGTGGTGAAGCCCACAGGTCTACGCGACGCACTGAGTCCAGAGGACCAAACAGCACTGTCACAGTCCCAGGTGGGAGACAGCCAAGCACTGCCCGACAGATACCGGGAGAAAACCTCCTGTAACAGCAGCCAGGACAGGAAAAAAGGAACGTGGAGAAACACTCACCCTGGGACTGGATGAGTATTTAAGAGATCAGAGACAATGCTGCAATGTGAAACACTAGGAATATTTACATGTCCAAAGAACAAAACGAAACACTCGGAAATTTAAAATGTTACTAGAAACAAAAAATTTAATGCTGACAAACTCCCTGGCACAAGGAGACAGAGCAGACAATAAAACTCCAGAGCCTGAGACAGAGGTCCTGAGAGCTCCGGAAGGGAAGGGATGGACTTCTCAGTAGGAATCCTGACAAACTGGAAAAGTGACTTCTAACTCTAAGTTACGTTCACAAAGGCATCCTGCCAGGCACTCTTCCTCAGTGAGATCCAGGAGGAGGAAACAGGGATGCACACAGTGCAGGGTTGGCAGGGGGTCTTGAGATGAACCAATCAGCCAGGAGTAGCAGGCTGGGGGACCCCAAAAGACAGGTCTCCTAGAAAAAAAGGTCAAACCAACAGATTGCTGATGTACTGAGACACACTGGAAGGGGTTTGGGAACAACCTCTGGTCAATTCACAAAAAAAGCCAACAAGATACTCAGTAAATCGAGAAAAACCTGTTCAACAGGAGAGGAAATGCGTGGATCACTGTACAGTATGTATGTGGCTGTAACAATTTAACACTAGACCGTGATTGATCAAAAAACCGATGACTTTATGGGGCAAAGAAACAGGCATACAGGGAAAATAGTCATTGACAATGGAAGAGAGAAGAGAATAAATCCTCATCTACAGTAGAAAGTCAGTCAACATTTTACAAAACTGAAAGAAGCTAGAAATAGCAGTTTAAGTGTGTCCCTAAAAGCATGGAGGTAAATACCAGGAGAAACCTCTGAAGAGCAGAAAGAACGGCACTGGAGCTGGGGGGGGGGCACAGCACTGGAAGCACTGCATGCGACACCTTTTCAATCAGACGTATTCCTTTGATAAAATACAGATGTACAAACTTCAAACTGACCCACATACACAAAAGAACTCCAAAGGGGAAAGATTCTTTCCCCAAAAGGAAAAGCGCTGTAGGAAAAACTTTCCTAAGTGAAAATCAAGCCAGATCTCAGTCTCCATGTAGCTCTGACAGGTCATTAAAATCTGTCGTTTCTATTAGTTTCATCTAGTGTCAGAGTCTGGAAGCCACAAGACTGTGGTCAAGGCCAAGTACAAGAAATTACAGAATCACAGAATGTGGAGACCAGTTCTTAATTCACTCAACTGAACAGGACTTTAGTCAGACTACACAGGAATCCACAAACTTTTCTGTAAAGGGCCGGACAGTAAACACTGGTGCCTGGTGGGCCCCTTCGCAGCCTTCATTTCTCACAAGCCATTATGACAAGTCATTCTTCCCTCACACCAATCATATACAACAAGCACAGGCTGACCAGACCCACAGGAAGTAATTTGTCAACCCCCGAATTAGAGGAAACAGAGTCAGCATTATAGTATTTCATAATCCCCCACTACAGCATTTCTTATGCAGCCAGGATACCACCACAATGTTAGGTGTCAGTGGCTGGCTTACAGCTCATCTATATCTTGGTGACGCTTATAAAATGGCACTGTTTCAATCAATTATGTGCTTCCTGTGCATCATGTGTCATGCAAGTTAATATGTTAAGAGCACAGCAAAATGTATATTATATTGCTGTGTTTACTAAGCGGAGAGTTCTTACCTTGTTAGAGGTACTAGTAAACACGGACATATTGTGGAGGAAAGGCTATAGCAGCTGGGATGTGCTGCAAAATAACTGGGAGGAGGGGAGGATGCTGCAAGGGGAGCTCACAGCAATTGCTGAGGTCAGGTGATGGGCCCATGTGGGTTCATTGTACTCTTCTTTCTACTTTTGTATTACATGTTTAAGATTTTCATAAAACATTTTTTCTTAAAAGTTCAGGACAAAAAAGAAATACCAACAGCAGCAAATAGATACGTGCTTATAAAAAAGCCAAATAAATATTATCCTGAGTCAGGGGGAATAAAGTATCAATTTCATTTTTTTAATGTTGTAATTAGATTTCTGGAGAACCTGGATTTTTCCAAAGAGAATGATCAGCAGGCTGATTTTCTTAATAAGATTAGACAGAGGGAGCCCCTAGGCACTGCTGAATATACCACAACATACAATGCTAAGTAACGAACGATACGACATTTAAAAGTGCGGACATGCCAAGAGGAAACGAATTGCTACCAGTTCCCCTTCCAAAGAATTATTTCAGTTTTGGATGTTCCTTTCCATGTATCTTGAAAAAATAAAGCTCCAGGTTACTTTCCCAGAAAATGTATTATTATAAACTGGATCTGATTTTCCTATAGAAACCATGTTAAAAAAAAATTATATCCAGAGTAGAGTCCTAATAACCAACTTATTATAGAAATAACTAGAGGCCCGGTGCACGAAATCGTGCATGGGTGGGGTCCCTCTGGGTGTCCTGCAGAGATCGAGCTGAAACCTGCAGTCCAACGCCACCTGCAGCTCCTACCTGCCGCTCCCGCTCATCCCAGCCCCACTGTGCCTGCCACAGGCTCGCACCCAATCAGTCTGCATCTGGCACCCTCCCAAGGGGAGTGGCCTGCAGGATCGGGTTGAAACCGGCTCTCCGACATCTTCCAAGGGGTCCCAGATTGCAGGAGGGCGCAGGCCAGGCTGAGGGACCCCACCAATGCATGATCAGGCTAGGGAGGGACCACAGGAGGGCTCCAGGGCATGTCTGGCCCATCTCACTCAGTCCAGATCAGCTGGACCCCAACATCAAGCTAACCTACCAGTCAGAGCATCTGCCCCCTGGTGGTCAGTGCACGTCATAGTGACTGGTCGACCAGTTGACTGCTCCCTGGTGTTCAGTACACGTCATAACAAGCAGTTGAGCAGCCTTAGCATATCAGCATATTACACTTTGATTGGTTGTTCAGTTGTTCCGCCGTTTGGTCTATTTGCATATTACCCTTTTATTATATAGAATAACAAACTACCATTTGAAATAGGTAATTAAAGGTTCATTAAAATAGGTAAACAGAGTTCAAAATTACCGACTGCATAAAAATGTATTTTATAAATTACGTTGTTCAATGGGTAATTTGTAACCCGTTTTCCTGGTAAACAAAGGCCTTCATGATAAAGCTGGAAGTTTTCTGTGGCTGACAGCATCCTCTTGTCCCTCTCAGCAGCATCTCCATAAAAAATGTGACTGTAATCATGTTTGGCATGAACTCTTTTTTTACATATATGTGGCTTTCAGGAACCAAAGTCTTAAAGCTGTGGTTGCCCAGCAGATATAAAACAGTGTGCAGAGTGGCATAAAGTGATGTGCAAAAAACTAAGTATTTTCATACTAGTCTCAGCTCTTAACTGAAGTTTTATATTTGTGGCTCCCGCATTAAAAAAACGCATTTTAAAATGCATTCTACCAGTTTTCAGAGACTACAATGATTAATCTTTTCATGAACAGAAATGAGACCTCCCTGAATGAGGAAACGTCTCATTCAAATCATTTATTGAATGATTATATTGAAATTTCCCAACAGGCCCCTCTCCCCAAGTCCACAACCATCTGTGGGTGCAGGTGTTAGGCCTTTCCTGTCCTTTCTGTCCCTGCACTAAAGTCAACAGCCTGACCCCAAAGCTAGGCCACCAGAGGTCAGGAACACGTGGACAGGCTGACCCTGAGCATAGCAACTTAATTCAAAAATGGCCCCAGGCTGAGCCTGCCTCTACAGAATATCACATACCATCGGAGTTTACAGATCTCTATTCATACTTTTCCTTGGTTTTTATTAATTACTAGAGGCCTGGTGCACGAAATCCGAGCATGGGCGGGGTGGGTCGGGTCCCTCAGCCCAACCTGCACCCTCTCGCAATCCAGAACCCCATGGGATGAGGCCTAAACCGGCAGTCAGACATCTCTCTCTCTCAATCCGGGACTGCTGGCTCCTAACCGCTTGCCTGCCTGCCTGCCTGATTGCCCCCAACCGCCTCTGCCTCAGCCCCCACACCCAGGACCCAGGTTTCCATCCTCCGGCCAGCCGCAGGCAACCAGGACCTGGGCTTTCCTCCCTCTGGCCA